GGGCGCGGGCGGCGAGGAGGGCCTGACCGCCGACCCCACAGTTCATCCACACGCTGGAGAGCCAGCGCGAGTTCTCGGCGCGCGCCAAGGTGTACTTCGCGTCGCTGCTGACCGTGGCGCTGCACGGCAAGCTGGAGTACTACACGGACATCATGCGCACCCTCTTCCTCGAGCTCATGGAGCAGTACGTGGTGGCCAAGAACCCCAAGCTGATGCTGCGCAGGTGCGTGCCGGGCGTGGGCCCCAGCGTGGGCTGGCGAGGGACACCCCCGCTGTCCAGGGGCCCGGGCTGGCGGGTCCCGGCCGGCTTGGGCACGGGGCGGCCAGCGGGCTCCAGGGCCGCCCGGCCCCACGTGTCTGCGCCGCAGGTCCGAGACGGTGGTGGAGAGGATGCTGTCCAACTGGATGTCCATCTGCCTGTACCAGTATCTCAAGGTGCGTGCTGTGTGGCCAGGGGCCCCCGCGCGGCGGGGTGGGGCCCTGCCGGCCCGGCGCAGCGGCCTGAGGCTGCTCCCGCCCTGCAGGACAGTGCTGGCGAGCCGCTCTACAAGCTGTTCAAGGCCATCAAGCACCAGGTGGAGAAGGGGCCGGTGGACGCCGTGCAGAAGAAGGCCAAGTACACCCTCAACGACACGGGGCTGCTGGGCGACGACGTGGAGTACGCCACCCTGGTGAGGGGCGCCGTCCACCCTGTGGACACGGGGCCAGCAGGGCCGCTGGACGCCTGGCCCGGGGGGCTTGGTGCCCCCCCCGGCGCCTGGGGCCGCCCATGGTGGCCATGGGGCCCCCGCAGAGGCTGTGCCTGTGTGGGAGGCGGGCGGTCGCCCCCTGACCCCTCGACCGTCTCCGGCAGACGGTGAGCGTGATCGTCCAGGACGAGGGTGTGGACGCCATCCCTGTCAAGGTCCTCAACTGCGACACCATCTCCCAGGTCAAGGAGAAGATCATCGACCAGGTGTACCGCACACAGCCCTGCTCCCGCTGGCCCCGGGTGGACAGTGTGGTGCTGGGTGAGCAGGCCCGCGGGGCGGGGTGGGCGCCGGGGCGGGCGGGTCTGGCTGGGATCGGGACCTGGGCTGTGTCCCCCAGAGTGGCGTCCGGGCTCCACAGCCCAGATCCTGTCGGACCTGGACCTGACGTCGCAGCGGGACGGCCGCTGGAAGCGCCTCAACACGCTGATGCACTACAATGTGAGCGCGGGGCGGGCGGGGCCCCGGGAGCCGACCCCTGGGGACCGGCCCTCACCGCTCTGCTCCGCAGGTCCGGGACGGCGCCACCCTCATCCTGTCCAAGGTGGGGGTCTCGCAGCAGCAGGAGGACAGCCAGCAGGACCTGCCTGGGGAGCGTGAGTCCCTGCCTCTGGCGGCGAGGACCGGTGCCACCGCTGCCCAGGGGCGGCGGTGCAGCCCAGGCCCCGGTGTCTGTCCCCCAGGCCACGCCCTCCTGGAGGAGGAGAACCGCGTGTGGCACCTGGTGCGGCCGGCGGAGGAGGTGGACGAGGGCAAGTCCAAGCGGGGCAGCGTGAAGGAGAAGGAGCGCACCAAGGCCATCACCGAGCTCTACCTGACCCGCCTGCTGTCAGTCAAGGTGGGCGTCCGCCCACGCCGCCCCCTCCCAGCCGCCGCTGACCATCCCGCCAGTCCTCACTCTCCTTTCCGACTTCACTTGACTCACAGATCCAGCTTGGCGCTAAGGTGCGCCGACACCCCCAGCAGCCGAGGCCC